CCAAAATCCTTCGTAAAATCCTCAATGCTCCTTACTTTGTTACAAATAAAATCATCCATAATGACCTTAATGTTCCTTATGTATCAGATTTGGCCCAATCCAGATATCTGTCCTTCCATAATAAACTTCATAACCATCCCAACCCTCTTGCTTCCAACCTTGCTTCCTATTCGATTCCTGATAATCCTCCGAGGCGTCTGAAAAGAAGATGGCCACGTGATCTCCTAATATAGACATATTATTAGAGTGCTACCAATGGGTAGTTTCTCAACATGTGTTTCATGTCTTTATATCCATGTGCGAATTTACAAGATGTATTTTTTGTATACAGTTGTAAATATCATATAAATAAATAAAAAAAAAATTATCTTTCTGAATTACAAAACTTATCATAATGCTAATCATGAGTATCATAAAAGTATAAATAATAATCTGTTAAGGAAGCGACTTAGATATATTAATATCCCCATGAAAACCTAAAAGGGCGATGGTAAATCTAACTTATGTTTTTTACAGTTGACTGGTATATAAACATTAAAAAAATATCAAACTAAACCATTTTGAAGAGCTTCTTAAGTCATAAAAAAAAATAATATCTTGCTCATTACGTTCAATAAAATTATAATATTATGAAGACATGGATATCTTTTGGGAGTGGAGTAGCCTAAGAAGTTAACGCTTTGTGTAAAACGAGCATTGCTTTTCAACCTGATGAAAGATTACAAGTTAAAATCCTGGCGCCGAACTCGTAAAATAACTTTTAACTCTGGCATCAATCCCCCGCTCTCTCCCCTGACTCGAAAAAAAGTATTACCAAAAAGACTAGGAAAGAGTAAAAAAAGGGAGAATAAATATGCCTAATAAATAGAGAATAAATATGTCTAAATTTATCATATGAACAATTTAATAGAAAATATTTATCGTTACTATTTTTATAATCATAGATTTAAAGAATATCTGGCGTTTCTGTTTTTTTTTTAAACGGCTGTTCAATATTTTCTAGTAGCTATTTGCTTATTTTATATGAATTTATATCATTGATAAATATAGATTTCTCACAGTTTGGATGCCAACGATATAAAGCTTGGGGTTTCCTAACACTCCCAGTTGGCCGGTAGCAATAATTCCTCCCCACAGCCTCTTCTATTTTAGTTTTGGGTTTTTTCCTTTCTATAATTTTTTTTTCTCGCTGTATTACAATTATAATATATGTCGTACAAACAAAGTAATATTTCCTATAACTCAATAATCTAACATTTAAAAAATGGAGTCCAAAGATTTTAATTCTATATTAACAATCGTTGCCTTTCAATTAAATGATGTTTATAAGTCAGTTCTAGTTGCCCGTGTGAATAATTTGCTTAGTATGTTGGTCAGTAAGGCTGAAAATATAAAAGAAAATCAATATTTTTCAAATATATCGAAATAGTAATTCGATGAATCCAAAAAAATATATCTAGATATTTCGAGTTATCTGGCTTCAATATTTTTAATATTTGGAAAGCTTAAGTAAATAGCTAATAATAATCTCGATACGTATAATATTCGTGATCTCGGTCTAATCAAGTCCTTCCACAACTAATGGGCAAGAAACTGTGCTTACAAATTACTGTCTCAAGACCATCCACTGTTTGTAGCGGTACAAACAATTATAAGATAGGAACTTGTTTATGTTTTTGTCACTGGGACAATTTCTAGACCATCGATAAAATTATTCACGAATTTATTAAAGATTTAAAAGTTTCATTATCCTGGAGAAATCGTCCCCCCTAACCAGGTCTATGTTTCTATACGTTGAAGAAAGTTATGTGAATATTTCTCACTGGTACGTTTCGATGAAAGTTTCGTCAAATTTGTTTTAACGAGTTCATTCCTTAATTCATTCATTAGTTTAACCGATTATGTAGTGGAGGAGTCCCTAGGTTTGAGGTATTGATTTCGTTTAATTTTCTATTTATCATTTACAATTCAAGTTGTATTTTTTCCTCCTGATATTATTTATAAATATGGATCGCGACAGTTGTTTTTCTTTACAAACGTTATTGTTATTCACAGCTATTACCTTTGTCTTCCCATAATGTATAACGACTTCATCCATTGACGCTCTTATTCCAGTTTCTTCATTTATTATCTTTGCAGTTTTTATGTTTTTTAATTTACTTATCTTTAGGTTATTTTATTTTTTTTATTGTACATAGTTTTTGATAATTATTTTAGTTTTGTTAATTTTATATTTTCTGTATATATGGTGTGAATGTGTTCATGTATCACTATAAACTATTGTCCACGTGACAGATTGTTATAATTCTAAATAAAAAAATTTAAAAAAATTATTTCCGCAAATTGGACAAAGTTCTCATCATCTAAAACGGCCCAGGAGATAATTTTGAACTAATAAGATATTTGGATAGGTTTTAAAAATTTTCATGAACAGCTATTTACCTATGGTTGGAACCCAAAAATTACTTGTATCTCAAGTAAAAAGTCCATTATAACCCTTTTTCCGTGGACCGAAATCACTGTACATAAAATAGAGAGAGTACATTAATTGAGGCGTTCTGCTGAACACTAGCGGATCCGGGATTTAATTTTTTTTGGGGGGGGGGACTACAGCCCGAAACCTTTTTTTTTCATAAAAATAACGATAATTACTTTGGAATAAAAGAAAGAAACTAACTACCTATATGGAATGGCGTTTAAGTGATTTCTAAAGTCCTTTTAAATGTAATTACACGAATAATAATGCATTAAGGGATAATTTTTTAATATTTTTGTCCATAAAACATGGTCATATTTTACCATTTTGGGGGAAGGAGGCTTTAGCCCCAAAGCACCCCCCCCCTTCCTCCCGTAGATCCGAATAACGGTCTATGTTACATTTTTGTGGAATCGGGTTTTTTACTGAATAATGGTCTATGGAGTATCTCTTGAAATGTCCCTTAAGCGATTTCCTATAAAAACCAACGTATCTCGTTGCTGTGCTATCTTGCACAAGCTGGGAATCTTGAACTCTATCTTCGGAACAATTGTCTATGTCACACTTGCCTTTATTATTATTTTTTTTTAAATAGTCTTTATTGAGCTAAATTATCTGTCACAGTACCTTTATTAAAGAAGGTTACATTCTTAATTTGTACATTCATGGTTTATTTTCTTGTTATTCCTTATTGCTTACGTCTATCAAGATATATAAGACGGATTGGAAGACCGAAACCCAGTCGGAAAACTTATCTCCTGATAAACACCAACTTATTTTATATATAAAAAAAAAAAAAAAGGACTTGCTGAAGATGATCCCATACCTTGACAAACAGTCAGTATGAAGATTTTTACAAATCATTGCCCACAATAACTTAATTTAAAAAAAAAAAATGTTTCCAAATTTTTAATATTTTTTCGCTTTATGAGGTTCAAGAAACTATTAACTATTTTTTTTTTCTAATAATGTTCTTAGTTTAATTTATTTATTTATTTTTTTGCTTCATTTATATATATTTGGAGAATAATTTATGCTGCATTTACATTTATATGTATATGTGTTATCAACCTTATAAAACATCTTTCTAAAGTACTATAATTATTTTATTACTTGTTTTATTAAACCAATGTTACACTCAATAAGATACCGTCAATAAGTGCAACTGGATGATTCGGTCATAATCAAGAATATTTTTCATTGGAAACAATAGCAGAATTAATAAGGCAATTTGATGGAATAACGATCTATGTTAGTTCCCCAGGCGAAAAACAAAATCCGCTAATTTAGCAATGGATTTTACAGTATCGTGTAAAATTTCAAAAAATCACTTAACGCACAGTTGTTCGACTGAACCATTCAATTGTTTTGATATGAAATTCCTAGTCCTTGAAAAGTTCACATTGACATACTGTGTCAGGATTGTTAAATGATTCTGAAGAAATATTTAAAAAAAAACTCGAAATGTTAATATTTTAATGTGTTTCTTTAATGAAACTTTAATTAAGGGATCATGTTAGGAAAACACTAAATACGTAAACGGCAAATATAATTAAGGTGTAGGAATAGTTATCACTTTGAAAGTTCGAGCTTGACATTGCAAAGTTAAGTTTCAACTTAAGAGTTCAACTTGTTAATAATGTATAAGTAACCTCTATTTTGTATAATTTTTTAAACAGATTAATTCGATAAGATAATCTTAACTTCTAACTTGTTGTTAGATATGCTGCCTGCTATTTATTAATGTTATATCTTACAATAGTTATATTGAATTACTTAAATTAATATTTAGCTTTTCTCCGCCTTATAATTACAGTTTCAAAATCTAATTTTCTACTTAATTTTTTTTTAAATTTAAAATTGAAGAAATTCATGATCCGGCAGAAAAACATAGAAAAATTGATGCCGACATTTAGACCCAAATTATAGGATTATCAGATCTGTTTCACGATTACAAACCTTCTAAATTAATCCCCTCATATATATTGTAATAATACGGTAAGGCTCGAAATCGGTTTTGTACCAGATATAAGCTCCTGTAATACTCAAATACCATGAATGGTGGGGTACTGTTGGATTCAGAATTTCATGGGGGGTTAGCGAATCGTACTCTCTGCTTTTGTTTTTCCTTCTAAAATAAATAAAGTCGATACAAATATTTTGGTATTCTTCAATACTAGAACGTTGGTAAGTTTTTTTATCAATGTGGGACAAATTGGGGCTTTGAAGATGTTGATTTAGTTTTAATTTAATAACTTATTTAACATATTATTATAATATATTAAAAATATGAACAAATTTTAGGACAAAGCTATTATAATGCAATAAATACTTAATAGTTTAATTTTTTGATGGGGGATTTCAATTCTATGAAAGGATAAATGACAAATTTTAAAACATTTTTTATATATTTTAATGATAAAAATTTATATATTTAAATTTATTCTCAATATATGTCTAAAGCATATATATTTCTAAGGCATTCAGTCATTAATTCTTGCTTATTATTATTATTTTTTTTTTAGATTGGCGTCGAAAAGAGAGAAGTCGAATAAAGACAGAGCCCGGAATAACTCCATGTCAGGTACAAGAAGTGACCACAAGTTCTAAACATGAACAGAACGGTGGGTAACAAAACTGCTTTATTATTATAAATTAATATTTTTTCTTATTTTAATAATTGTTGTTTTGTGGGTGATGAATATTCATGACGCAGTCATTACAAAGTTTGTATTGATGCAGACGTTTCATCCCAGAAACCCAAACATCATCATCAGGACGTGTTATGAGCACTGAAGATATTCAAGTACGGACACTTTGGTAGGTAAGTCTGTCAGTGCCAGTACTTGAATACCTTCAGTGCTCGAAAGACGCTCTGATGATGACCCACATGTTTGGGTGTTTGGTTTGAAACGTCGGCACCAATAAAAACAATAAAATGACTGCTTCCTGAATATTTATCACCCATGATTTATAGAACAGTCGACTAACTTCCTTCAATACTTATTGTTTTGAATGATTAATAAGTTTATTTTATCAATTTTAATCGTTTGGTGTTGTTCGGAATAGGAAATAAGTTATTCACTGAGTTGTACTCGTTCGAATTTCAGTAAATATATTACTAACGAATAATGTTTCAATATTTAACACAGAATATATAAATATATATTTTTTCTCTTGGCATTACAGAGCATGTAGATCTTTTGTCTCCTTAACAAGCCTGCTCCATCTTTGCCTATCTTGGGCTATTTCTTTCAATTTATCTGCACGCTGCTCTGTTGCATCTTTGTTGATTCTATCTATCCATCTGCTTTTCCTTCTTCCGCGTGGTCTTTTGCCTTCTATTGAGGCATTCATTGTTACGTAGACGCTTCGAGATGAATTGTTGCATGTCCATTCATTTGTATTCCAGAATTGTGAATAACCGTTTTTTTTCTCAAAAGGTAATTCATAAATAATATATTTATTCTCAAATAATTATGAAATATATGTTAGTTTACAAGATTCATATAATAAAGAGTTTTTTTCCAATTCTTTCATTTAGAATGAATCGACCAGTCTCCAATTGATAGAAGATGTATAACTAATTTTAATTTTTTTTAATATTTCAACTGTTACCAAAACTTCTATTTTCACGATCACTTACACAAGTTAATGAACTAATAGTTAGGTAATGTGAAAATAAGTAAATGCAATATATTTTTAAAACTTTATTCTTGGTAGATTATAATTATTATTGTTCGAAATAATAAACTAAAACATGCCCACAAAGCAAAATGGCTGTGTCATTGCTGGTAAGTATTTCGATGATTTATTTTCGATTTTGTAGGGAATTTAGAAATATTTCAAATTAGCCATAAATTTTAAACTTATACGCAAATCATGTTTTCTTCGTACCTTTTTTTTCCTGGCTTTTCTCGGCTTACTTTTCGACAATGAAGGAGAGCATAATCTTCAAAATTTTGGCTCAATCATTGGATTCGATGAAGTAATAAAGAAGATATGGACCCACAAAAAAATACGTTTGAAAAATTATGTATAAATATTCGAGTCGATTTCCATAGAAACTAGTTCAGTTTTTATCAAGTTTTTTAAGTAATAAAAAACTGTACATTTCATAGAATATCGCAGTTATTGATTATAAATGTACTTAAATTATTAAACAGAGCTCTCTAGAAGAATAGAAACCGAAAATAGGAGTATAAAAAAAAAATTATCAGACCTATATTAATGGTAATACAACAAAAAAATATTATGCTCAAATGTTCACATAAATCGTTAGCCTATTTTTCGACGACTTATCTAATCGTTAGAGCCAATCTTGAAATACGCGTCCCATTGCCATAATTTTTACCCGACTAACCAAGCGATACGAGGATTTTGTGTTAGTGTCCGCAAAAGCAACGTAACGATTGAGCGAACGGCTGGACTTAAATTATTTGGTGAGATCTTCTGTGTGTTTTGACACATTTTAGGCTGAAAACCTCGAAGTATAATGTTCTCAATTTGTCCTTTAAATGCTATGTAACGATTTCTTGAGCGAATGGTTTGACCAATTTTTAAATAAATATTTCAAATGATTCAGTGAGTTCTCGTGAATATTTTAAAAAAACAATTTGAGGTACTGATAAAAATATTATTATTTATAAATTACTGATAAAAATATTTTATTATATATTCTCAAATTTGCGTTGGTTTCACATCATGTTATATGTAAGATCTTGTTCATATTGGTTGATTATAAATTGTCAATACCTAAAACGTTTAACATAATAAAAAGATTTTAATTAAAAGAGAAAAATGACTACAGAAATCGGGAAATCGCGTCCATCCTAAATAAACGTTCTTTCATATCTACTTAACCACCTTGGCTGATTTTTTTTTGGAAAATTGACTTCTACTAATATTCACACTTGGTGTAGTGGTTGGATGCCTTCTACTACATACTACAGCTCCTGGTAAATAAATTTCGTCGTGTTTGAAAGATAAGCGTCTACTACAACACAAGTTAAAATATTCGTAAATATCAATTTCCCTACCAATCTACCAAGATGTTTAAGAAGAGGCGAAGTGAATTCCTTTTGGGTGGATATCACTAGCGGATCCAGGATTTAATTTGGGTGAGGGGGAAAGGACTTCAGCCCGAAAGGTTTTTTTTCATATATATATCGATAATTACTTTAGGAAAAAAAGAAAGATACTAACTACCTATATGAAATGGTGTTTAATTGATTCTGATATAATTATATGAACAATAATACTTTTAAAAGAGAATGTTTTAATATTTTTTTCGATAAAATATGGTTAATTTTCACTATTTTGGGTGGGGTTTCAGCCTGAAAGCCCCTCCACCCTCACCGTAGATCGTAACCTGTGGTGGATAGTTTTACCCGATTTCTTGTATTTTTGAATTCATTTTGCAGGGAAATTAGAAAGATTTCAAATTCTTCTGGATTTAAACAGCCATAAATTGTAAACTTATTTAATTATGTGCAAATAAGATTTTCTTTTCTTCATAACTTCTTCTCTTAACTTTTCTTGGGATTGTAATTTTTTTTTTCTGTTGGCATTGACAGAGATTATCTTATTTATAAATATGAAACGTGACATTTCATTGGATTTGAAGAAGAATTAACAAATATGTGGCTTTAAACACCCTAAAACAAAAACACCTTTAAAATAATATACTAAGATATTTTTTTTTCTTAAATTTATATTATATTGATTTTTTTTATTATTATCAGGAAACACGATACCCGTTGGAATAGCAGTAGCGCGACAGAGGATACAGCAGTCCACACCGCCTCCCTTAAGTAAGTATCATCTTAATTTTAATAATTATTATTATTATTTAAATATTTTCTACCTTTATAATTATTCTTATCGGATTGATTAATTGGTATGATGTGTCTTGTAGCAACCCAATGTTTTTGACTACTACTGCTTAAAAAACGAAGTATTATGTCATAATATTGTGGTATTTTATGAAGCTTAATAGCGAATATGGCCAGAAGAGACCATTACGGTAGTATTAGATTAAAAATCGGATCTAAAGATTAAAGTATCCATTAAAATCGGATATAAAGGTTCATAAACCAAGTTAGTTTAGAGAATTTGGCGCACTCAACGGCTTACCGTAACTATTCCTCGTTGAAAAAAAAAATTACATACATGAAACATGGACATTTTTGTTGTTTCTTTTTTTTTAATTTCTATACAATGGTCATCACGAAAAAAATAAATGAGTATTTTCTATATATATTAAGGTTAACTAACCATTTTACGTGCAAAAGAATTATTTTTAATTGCGGGTAATGGTTGACTGTCGTGAATAATGGAGAGAAGGATGGTTGGGATGAGCAGTCAGAAATAAGAAGGCAAAAATAAATGACAATATTTATTTAAACATTTGCCGACGTTTCGACTTGAAGTTCAGGCCTTCGTCAGGGCTAAGAAAAGATCCAGATAACAAGGTATGAGAAACATAAATACTGTAGGTGAAAAAAATGAAAATAAAATGAAGTGGGTAGAATAATGACAATAGTAAGAACTAATATATAAGTAATAATAACCGTTACAAATTGTGGAATGATGATTAAAAAAAAGGTGACATTAGTATTAAAATGGTAATCTTAGAATAAAATGTAAAACAGAAAAAAGAAATATGAAGTAAATTAAGAAATGAAAATAAATAGTAAAAATAAGATATTGCAAATAGAATAGTTAGATAGAAAATTGAGATATTGTAAAGTCTATCAAAATGTACTGACAAAGTATAATAGAATAAAGAGTTAAAACAGAGAATATGAATGAAAGGAAGGGGGAAAAAAAGGAGAAGACTGAAATAAGAAAGAAAAGTCAACCCGTTCCAAAAGCTGACTGGAATAGAGAATAATTCAGAATTACTTTTAAATTTTTTTATATTTATAAATAAAATGTGTTGTTAGGCAATTATGTTTATGTTTCAATACATCCAATATCACAGAAAAACAACAAATAAAAGCTTTGTAACACTTAATTATAGTAATTTTTGCTGGAAACACTGGTACTTTTAGGTGACTGGATTGAAAATCGCATCATTTCATTACAAAACTTGAGACGATTCTCAAAACTTTTTCTGGTAAACCTCAACTTAATAATTATGGACTTAAAGCGTTTGTCCGCTCTATAGTTCTCTTTAAATAGTTTCAATAATAACAAATTCTACTTTCTTTTAAAGTAATTTTTTTCTAGTTCACTATGGAATAATGTTTAATTACTTAAATCAAATGTGTTTTATGTTATCTGTTCCTATTCAATAGAAAACCTGTCTAGCTTGGAAAAAAAAAAATCTTAAATTTTCTACTTTATTGCTCGAAATTGGGCTATTGTTTACTGGAACTTTTTTTGTAGATTTTAATGTCTACTATTATCCTTTTAAATATTCCCCTCTTCTTACGGGACACCCTGTTTATAATAAGGTAGAATAAATCCCTTTGCCGCCCCTCAGGGACGATGGATTTTCTTGAATTAGGTATCTAATGAAAGGAAATTTCATGAAGAAGTGATGTGTCTCTGCTTCGATCCTTAAATTCTTTCAAAATATCCAGGTATCTCTGTTTGATAAAAATTATAATTTAATTTATTTAAAATTAAAAGAACAATAATCAATTATTTCTGCTTTCATTATTTTGTCAGCATATCTGCTGATTGTTAATAAATGTAATAAATAGGCACGGTTTAAAGAATAAATTTATTTTCTGAAATATACAAATGACGAATTTTCGTCATGCAGATGAATATGTGTTAACTATGGAACTGGGCGAACAATTTTCCAGTGGGACAAACTAATCATTTATTAACTATATTGTTAATTTAAATTTTGTTTGTTGTATGTAACGATAAATATGTGTGGCATTTAGTGTTGCCTAAAATCGGTCTTGGTCTTGCATTTAGTAAGACCAAGACCAGGACTGGTGAAAAAAATCGATTTTTTTAAATACAAATTAAGGCTAAATAGTTACTAATACTTACCAATCTTAGTTACTATATGTTAATAAGGTATAACCAATATACATTTGTATTTAACTCTAATTTTTCATTCGGGCTTAGTTAGGTTTCTCCTATCTAAAAAATTACAGTAATATCTCTATAGCAATAAGCTTATAAGTAACTGCAAGACAGTTGCGAGACTCTTACGCTAGACCATGACCAAGACTGAGTTTACAAGACCAAGACTCTTCTCGGTCTCGTATTTGGGCAACACTAGTTGCATTTAATCAAAGTAATAATAATATAAGTAATAGTAATAAGTAATATTATTATATTTACTATTCATTTAAGAATATTATTTGTGGTAGCTGAAGGCTTAATGTTAGTACAAACGTTGCCTCCTACGGGTCAGTACATTTTTCTTCTGTTGAACCGGGTTGTGTCGTCCCTCATTCCTTGTACTCAGCCCGGACCCTTGTACCATAAATCAGCCTAACCTCTGTAGTATGGCTATTTGGTCCTATCTTACTGACCTTTCACAATGCCGCAACTTGACTATGTTAACAGGCTTACAAGAATCTTCTTAGAAAAGTGAAGGGATGTTTTTTTTTTTTTAGTTATTTTATGATTTAAAGGCGTAACGTATGTTGATTTTATTCTTCACAATCCTGTTATTATTGTAAATCAAGAATATTTCAAGTGTTGTATTCAAGGCTGGTATTGTGTTTTTACCTTTTATTATTTTAAAATAGTAGAAATAATGGCTTTATGTTTAGAAATACCAAGCAATATAATATCATAGCAACAACACTATTGCTAAAAAATATTGCTATTACTATGGTTGCAAGATGGACGATGTTGAGATGCCGGGCGGAAGTAAACAGAGCGGCATGGAGAGGGCGGATCGATGCCCGGCCCCGATCGGGCGAGCTCGGCAACCTTCGGCCAACTCCGCCGGCCATTAACCCCTACTATTTTTATTGCCATTTTCTCCTCTCCCTCCCCGTTTTTGCCGTAATGGCTCGTCGAAATTAATTAGTTGCCATTACCCAACTGTAAATTATCGTTTACCTCGACTGCTATTGAGCTTGGATAATGCTTGGTTTTATATTTAGTTCTTCAAACTAAACTCTTGATTAAATGTTGTAAATAATAAAATCAACTTGTAGTTGGATAATAATTTTGGTTAAAAATTCAGCCAGAGATTGGTTTGAAATTTGAAATTCATTTTACATCTACGAAGTTCCATTCTTTGTTCAAAATAATCTTCAAACAGAGTTTAAGAAGACTAATTTTCGGTTTATTGTAAAAGAAAGTATATTTTTAATGAAGCTAATTTTTAAGTACTTCTTTATGATTTTGGAGTTTATTTTTCGATGCAAAAACATTTTTTTTTAATAGTTGTAATTAATATAGAAGACAAAAAAAGAAACTACATAAAATACTTTTTAAAAAATACATATCTATTTTGATTGTATAAGTAATTAGTTCAAATCACTCACAGAAACAAATATGGACGAATGTTGTTCAATGAAATGTCACTTGATGACTTTTTGATATCTTAAAGATTACATAAATAATTAAAAACTTCGTAGTTGTCTTTATTCTAATCATGTATCGACTATGTAAATTTATTTGTATGATGTATTTGTTTTATTTATTTTTTAAAAATTTGTAAACATTACATAATAATGAAGAATGTATAAACAGCAACCTTTATTATTGCAGTTAATTATTGTAACTAATGCTGCTGATAATCTATAATGAACGAACCTGATTCAAATCCTGAATTTTCTTTTTTTTTAACAGTTGATTAATAGACTTCTGAAGGTCCGTATCCCTCACCACTTTATTGGCCTTTTTTTTCCTACAAATTAAGTATAAATTCATTAACAGGCTTAGTAATGTGGTTGAACATAATAGGTTTTATAAAACTACCCTAAAAACTTTAGCCAGAATAGCTTTATCACAATTTCTATTAGATATATCATAAAAAATATATAACCTACGAATATGAATTATATATTTAATGTCTTAATTGTTTATATCGAAATGCATCAAGCGAAAGTAGTGGGCGAAATTCAATAAAATTAACACCCGACCATTTCATTACTAATAGACTTAGTTCCACTTATTTCGGGTCTAATCAGATAAGCCGTTTTCGAAATATAGGTGACCAGAAAATCACGTTAAAAAGCAATAACTAAAAAAAATGTTCAATTTAGGTTACAACCAATTACTTCATGGTTAACTAAATAAATTTTACATTAAATGAAAATAAATTTTGTGGATAAATAAATTTAAATGAAAATTGAAAAAAACATCTAAAGGGAACTTTTAAGCAGCTAAACTACTGTAAGATCGGTTTTCATAACATCAAGGATCCTTCGCGATTTTTTTTATAACCTCTCCCCCCCCCCAATTGGACTGAAGATACCACACTTTTAGAAAATGTGGATGAGCTTTAAGTCCATCATAATTAGGTTGAAGTTTTTTACAGAATAAGTTGAGATTCATCACTAATTGTGTAAAAAGGTTATTAGTACGGTAAAATTATATTTAGTCTGTACACGTAAATTAACTTACTGTGGGACAAACTTCAACTTAATTAATGTAGACTTAAATCTCATCAAATAAGGAACTTTTTCTAAAAGTGTGGTATCTTCCAGTTACGGGATTATAAAAAAAAAATCATGAAGAATCCCTGATTTTATGAAAATCGGAACTTAAGTTTAACGGTTCGAAATTCCTCTTTAAATGGTTTTAAAAAAGACAAAATTTATTTACATTTAATGTCAATTTTATCTAGATTATTATGAAGTAATTGATTGTAACATCAATA